GAAATGTCCATGTGGCAAGAAAAAGAGGGACGCCACTGGCAGCAGCCAGTGAGGAACTGAATCCTGCCAATAGCGTGTGAGTGAGCCTGGAAGCAGATCCCCCAGGCAGGCAAGCCTTCAGATGAGACCGCCATCCAGAGGCACTGCGTGAAGCCATGCCTGGATTCCTGACTCACAGAAACTGGGCCATAATATATACTTCTTATTTTAATCTGCTACATTTTGGGGATATTTGCTATGCAGCAGTAGATGATATACCTAGTATTTGGCTATTGAGTGCTAGGCCCTCTGCTGCACATAGATCCATTCATTTATTAGATACATTTATTGAGTGCCACTGTGTGCCAGGTGCTGTGCCAGTGTGTATTGAGTTTACAGTGGTAAATCAGATAGACACAGTCTCCACTCTCAGAGACCTCTGGAGACTTGGAAATGGACAGTGTAAGCAGTGCTATGGGAGCCCAGAGGAGGCACCTGGCCCAGCCTGGGGAGTTAGTGAGGCTTCCTAGAGGAGGGGATGTCTGGGACCAACCTGAGACTGAAGAGAACCGTCCAGGCAAAGGTGGAGCCGAAGGGCACCCCGGGAAGGGGCCGAGAAAGGGACAAAGTGAGCTGTAAGAAGACCTGGCCCATGGAGGAACAAGGGGAGGTAGAGTGTGACAAAAACCTAGCTTGGAAGGGGGAACATGGCAGAGGAAGGACAGAGAGGTAGATCCTGGAGTATATCAGATGCCCACAAAGAGCCTAGGACATATCTGCCAGGCGGCGGGGGCATGGCTAGCAAGATGGAGCACCACCACATTGGCAGCAGACAGGAAGATGAGGCAGAAGGGTCAAGTTGGAGGGCAGGCCCCCAAGGGTGGGTGACAGAAGCTACACTGGTGCAGGCAGGAAGGTATGGAGGCTGGGCTGGCAGAGGAAGGCTGGAGAAGTGTGGAGAGACCTCAGGGATAAGAGGAGGTTGAGGGGACAAGATTTGGGGACTGAATAGGTGGGGATGGAGGTGGGAGGGAGGGGAGAGGTGGGAATGCTGCCCAAGTTTCTGGCAGGATGCCTGATTGTCCCTTTTGCTTAGGTGGGTGTGCACAGGCGCAGGAACAGGCACTTGCTGGGAGGAGCAAGATAAAAAGGATGACTTGTCCAGGTCCGGCTTGTGCTGTTTCCAAAAGAGAGGCTTGGGCTGGCAGTCCCTCTAGGAAGCGGTTCCACTCCCTAGACCAGGAGACAGCTACAGGCCTGGCCTGGGGCAGCGGAGATGCACATTGGAAAGGTATTCGGAGGCCGAAAGACCAGGGTTGAGGGAGAAGCAAGGGTACCGGCGCATCTCTGCAGACAGAAGGGACCATGATCACAGTCCTCCCAGCGGGAGGTGGGAGACAGGGGTCACCAACCTGCTGCCCGTAGCCCAGCGCCTTGTCGTAGAGTGCGATGCCCGCCGCCAGCCCCCGCGCGCGCTCCTCTGGGCTGACGCAGCCCACGTCGAAACCGTGCGCGTAGCCCTGCTCTGCCAGGCAGCGAGCGGCGCAGAGCTGGGGGTCCCCGGCGGCTTCGGGCTCCCCCGCCAGGCCCATGAGGCCGGCCAGCCGCACGGCGCAAGCCTCCTCTTCTTCCTCCTGGCCCAGCCGCCCGTACACGTGTGCCAGATTGGCCCAGGCGTTGAGGTTGCCCGGGTGCTCGTGGGCCACCTCGAGGAAGCGCTCGCGGGCCTCGTCCAGCTCCTCCAGGTAGAAGGCGAAAGCGCCCAGGAGATGACGCACGGCGGGGCGCTGCGGGGCGGCCGCCAGCTCAAGCTCCTGCCGCAGACCCTCCCGCTGCAGCTTCAGGTCCCGGGCGCGCTGCGTGGTCGGCGAGCGCGGCTCGAAGTTCAACTGCATCTCCAGGTGAAAGTGGCCCGGGAGGTAGTCCAGGTTGTCGATGAGGGCGTCTAGGTCGTCGGCCACGGCCTCCGGCTCCGCCATGGCTGCTCCCTCTGCTCCCCTGGCCTCGCCCTGGTCCCTGAGGCTGCGGAGGGCAGTGGATGGGGCGCCCTCCGAGCGAGCTCCGTGCGGGAGGCCAGGGGCAGAGCGCAGAGGCCCCAGGCGCGGCCGCCTCTCAGTCTCGGGGCGCCTCCCGCAGGTGGGTGGGCCCGAGGAGCGCCCTGTGGGTGTTTCCGCTTTCGCTGCTCAGCGACTTCTGGACGCTGACATTGCACAACCAGGTGTACCAGAAAAACAGGCGCATTGTCAAATACGGGGCGCGCAAACCTCGGTGCAAGGCAAAAGGCGTGTTTTTAACTCTGCTAAGCATAGAAGGAAACCGAGGCTCGGAGGAGAAAACTAAGGCTTAGAGGAGGAAGAGAACTTGCCCAGGTCACAGAACCTGGACGTACCCAAGTAGGTAGAGCCAGGACCCCAGTTTGCTGGAGGCCGGGCCCTGCCTCCAGGGCCGCTGCTCCGCCCTGTCTGCTTGAGCTGAGTCTGGACTGGCCGTTCCAGCTGCGGCAGCCACCGTCACTCCTGCCGCTGTCCCATCTTCTCCGCAGGTCCTCAGTGCCCTTCCTTCTAATGAAGCCTGCCACTTCCCTCCTCTCTTCCTTCGGCCATTACTTATTAGGCTTCCTACCTGGCATTTCTCTGAGCCTTCTCTGCTCAGCAGTGAGGAGCTCCTGTGCAAAGGCCATGGGCTGCATGTGCTGGTTCTGATCCTGCTTCTGCACCCCTAGTAAAGTATGACCCGCCACACTTTCATCAGCTGTGACGTGAGGATGGCAACCTTTCCCCATTTATCAGATAAGCCTGAACAATTGCCACTCTGGATAAATGTCAGCTGCCGCTCCTCCGGCTTGGATCCCATCCCATCCTGCACTCCACCTGTGCGCCCAGCTTTCTTGCTCTGGCCAGTGTTCCTCCCAGGTCTAGAGTGGTTCCCTAACCTCTAGCCTGGAGGCTGGGTAGCAGTGCTCCCTGCGGCAGGAGCTGGTTCCTTCCGCTCCTCCTTCCACCTGGGCCTGGCTCCTGCCATCTATGTTGCTTCATCTTGATAGATAGATGAAATATAAATCTAGATGAAAGCTAGGTGCAATATCTATACATCTCTATAGACGTAAATATCTATATTTCCTATAGATTAAATGTATAAAATATATTTCGCATAGATGAAATGTTGATATATTTCAGGATGAAGCAACAGAGACCAGCATTTCAAGATGAAACAACAGAGACCAAAAAAGGAAATAGAACCAATTAGTAAACTTGGAAAAATAGTTGACATTATTGAAAAAAGAGTTAAAACAACATCCTGGTGATATGTTTCACCTATCAATTTTTAAATATAAAATTAATTTTAATAATTTGTCATTGAAAAATTTGCTATATATGGCTGGTGATCCTGAGATGAAACTTGTTCTCTTCCCTGCTTGAGAGTATCAGGGATGGACTCCCAGAGGGTTTGGCTTTGAAAAAAAAATTGCGACAACGTATACTTAACAAAAAATTTACAGTGTTAACCATTTTTAAGTGCACAGCTCAGTGGCCTTAGGGGCAGGAATGCTCCCTTGGCCTCGCCCTTGTCCCTGAGGGCACTGTTGAGCCACGGTTCCCACCCTCCATCTCCAGAACTTCTTCATCTTCCCAAATGGAAACTCCATACCCATAAAACAGTAGCTCTTCATTCCCTCCCCACCCAGCACCTGGTACCCACCATTCTATTTTTGTTTCAGTGAGTTCAACTACTCTAGTTACCTTACATAAGTGGAATCATATAACATTTGTTCTTTTGCAACTGGCTTATTTCCCTTAACATAATGTCTTCAAGATTCATCCATGTGGTAGCGTTTGTTAGAATTTCCTTCCTTTTAGCCGGACCAGTGGCTCATGCCTGTAATCCCAGCACTTTGGGAGGCTGAAGCAGGCGGATCACGAGGTCAAGAGATTGAGACCATCTTGGCCAACATGGTGAAACCCCATCTTTACTAAACATACAAAAATTAGCTGGGTGTGGTGGTGCGTGCCTGTAGTCCCAGCTACTCGGGAGACTGAGGCAGGAGAATTGCTTGAACCCAGGAGGGAGAGACTGCAGTGAGCTGAGATTGCACCACTGCAGTCCAGCCTGGTGCCTGGCGACAGAGTGAGACTCTGTCTCAAAAAAAAGAATTTCCTTCCTTTTAAAGGCTGAATAATGTTCCATTGCGTGACTATGTCACATTTTGTTTATCTGTGTATCTGTCGATGCGCATTTGTGTTGCTTTTACCTTTTGGTTGTTGTGAGCAATGCTGCTATGAACGTGGGCATACAAATGGGTGTTTGAGTTCCCTTCTGCCTTTCATTCTTCTGGGTATATGCCCAGAAGTGGAATTGTTGGATCATATGGTAATTCTATGTTTAATTCTTTGAGAAACTGCCACACTGTCTTCCACAGAAGCTGGACTATTTCACTTTCCTACCAGCAATGGCCAAAGGCTCCAATTTCTCTACAGCCTCACCCACACATATTATTTTCTAATTTTTTTTTAAATAATAGCCATCCTAACGGGTGTGTTTGGCTTTTGATTTGACTCTGAACGAGATGAGTTCGGTGGGAAGGGTAGGTTGGTGGGGGTGCATATCATCAGCAACAAATATATTGAAAGGCCAGAGGTTCTCCAGTGGGGGAGGAGCATACTAGGGACAGAGCAGCCTTGTGGCTGGAGCTTATAGAGCATGGGGCAGAGATGGCAGGAGATGAAGACTGAAGGCAGCAGCCACAGCCCCAACACAGAGGCCCAAGACCTGGCTGAGAAGCTTGACTTGACTCCACTGACATAACAGGTGGCTCTGGAGTCTGGATGGGTTAGACACTCTTGCAGCCAGGGAGCTCTCAAATGTCTTTATGAGTCCCACATTCGTGGTATGATCCTATGGCTCATGAGAAGTACAGGGCAAGTTATCCTCCCCATCTGAGCCTTAGTTTCCTCCTGTGTACAATGAGTGTGCAATGATGCCTATAAAAGAAAGTGGGTGAGGTGCTATGACAAGGAAGCCGCTGTAATGGGACCTTGGACTCACCAGGGCAGTGGCCTTGCTGCAGAGCTGACTCACTTGGCCTTTTCTGGCCTCCCTGGCAGCCAGGACTCCCAGCCCAGTGGACCTTGGCTTATAGCCTTTGGTCACTCCTCCATGAGTCCTGGAGCCAGGAGGCTCAGGCCAGAAGACAAGCAGCAATGTAGCTGCAGGCATGTCTGGGCCACCCTGAGAATACCCGAGCAGACCCAGGGCTGGCTGAAGTGCACGGACTGGAGCGTGTGCATGTCCACACCTCGCCGACACCTCGAAACAGCCCTCCTGGGAAGCTACAGTCATATGTCCATGTCACATTACTTTCAGGGCAGGGACCACATCTGGGTTCCAGGCACTCTGCACGATGTCTGCCCAGAGTGGGTGCCAGAGGCGTCTAGGGCCCAGCTGAGTCCTGACTATCTCTGTCACAGAAGAGGAAATCCAAGTTGGCAAGGGTAACTTGCCCAGGGGCAGCAGCCAGGAAGTGGCAGAGCCGGATTTAAATGTCTCTTCAAGGGATTTATGTGTTATTGGGTAGTTGGACTAGATGCATGTATTCATTCACTTGTCATTCAACAAATATTTCCTGAACATTTACTATGTGCTATATGCTGCACCAGGAGGAAATGAGACAAGTCTCTGTCCTCAGGCCTCTGTAAGGTCCCTATCCAAGGGCTAGGAATGACCTTCAGTTAAGCTCCTGCTGTGTGCAAAGGGTATTATGTAAATCAGGTCATTTCATCCTCCTAGCAGCCTGGGAGACAGAGATGATTAGTTTCACTTTATAGAATGAAACCGATAATGCTGAGACTCAAAGAAAGAAGTGGCTTGCTCAAGGTCCCATGGCTGGGAAAGGCAGAGTCTGCTTAGATGACCCAGGCTACCTGTTCCTGAGGCCTGACACCTCTGACCATCAGCTCAGTGGTGCAGTGCAGACGCTCTGCCAGCTATGGCCATGTGCCCGTCAGGCCATGTGCCCAAGAGTCCAGCTCTCAGCTGTGCTGGGGAGAGCCACACTTCTTATTTAATTACTGGCTTGGGATGTTAGAAGGGCATTGGGTGGGGCCTGGCAGAAGACCCACTGTGCCTCTGATCCAGCTTCACCATGGGCCAGAAGCAGGACCTGTGGTACAACTTATACCTTTCTGGCTTCAAGGCTGTCACCATGGAATGGGGTATGGATCTCTGCCCCACCTTTGCCTAAGACCTTTGGGAAGATCACAGGCCATCATGAGAGAAATTAGACAATCTCAGAACATGGCTGTGGAGCACTGGTGGAGGGGGTAAGGAAGGAGGGAAGAGAGAGCTGACTACGTATGAATTGCAGGTATATGTGGGGCACATACCCTCAATTCCTTTCTTTACATGGAAAGTCATCCATATGCTTCAATATTGAGTTTGGAATTCTCCTCCAGGAAGCCTTCCCTGACCTACCTACCCACAGGCTGGGTCAGAGGCCTCCCTCTCTCATAGACCTGACCACAGTATGTGGTCACTGCTTCCCCCATTACTTTCAGGGCAGGAGCCACATCCGGGTCCCAGGCCCTCTGCACGATGTCTGCTCAGAGTGGGTGCCAGGGGTGTCTAGGGCCCGGTTGAGTCCTGGCTATCCCTGCAGTCTTGCCCAGCCCTCCACCTTCTGGCTTTCCTTGTCCCGTCCCCCTTACTTCTGCTCCCCTGACTCCTGGAGTAGAGAAGGAGCTGGATGTCCTTTGCCCAAGTCTGCCCTCTCTGTGGGCCTCAGTGTCCCATCAGCACAAGGTGAACTTTAAGAGGTTCTTTCTGAGCCTAGGCAGGCTCCATGCAGGGCTCTGGGACAAAGCCAGAAATCGGAAACACTTCCTCAACAAACGACCCCACTCGATGGCATCCATGTTAAATACAAGAAGGGCCATTACATCTGCAGGGGCCAGGGAAGGACCCTGGAAATGTGCAGGGACAAGTGAAAAATCAGCAGGCTACGTGCGCACGCTGGTGCGGGAGGGCGTGGCCCACAGCTCCGAGGCGCATCACAAGGCCTGGTTGCCGTGGTAGCGGCAGAGGCGGCCGCGGAGGCCCGCGGGAAGGCCAGGACCCCGCAGGAGCTAGTGGCTAGTGGCTGGAACCGCGCCCGCTCCATGGCCACCAAATGGTTCACTGGTGCGCCCTTCGGGGTGCAGAGCCACAGGTAGGGTCTGTTTGCGTCCTGGGCTCACGCCTATGGTCTAAGGTAGCCGCTGCCCACCCCGAAGCCACCCTTGACCTCGAGAGAGAGGTCACAGGGTGACCTCCACTTACACAGGGCTGAGTCTGGCAGGGAGGGGAATAAGGAGAGGAGGGTCTGGCAGTGAGAAGGGGCTGGACTTAAACTCTTCTCCCCATACTTACTGCTCTTCCCTGCCCAGGGTTCTTTTACCATCTCGGTGAGTTCTTTAAAACCGTTTCAAGAGCACCTACTCTGTGCCAGGTTTAGAGAGGCCACGTGGCCTGGTCCATAGTAGGCCACTCAGCTCAAACGTGGTGGGTGAGATTTCAGCCCAGGTGTCTGTTTCCCATTCATTCATATTCCACTCTGTCTCTCTCTCACCTACTAGGATCCAGGCACTGTTCTAGGATCTGGGGCTATAGCAGTGAACACAACAGCAAACTTCTGTACTCATGGAGTTTGCTCTCTTCTGTGGGGGTGGGGTGGATAATAAAGAAAAGTATGTATATTTGTAAAATGTTTGATATTGATAAGGGCTGTGGAAAAACATGAAGCTAGGGTGGGGTGGGAGTGGCCTGGAACATTCGAAGCCACTGCAACTCCGCTACTTTTCCTTCATGAGCTTGTTCCAAAGTCACTTCCATAGGCAACCAACTCCTCCATGCCCCAGGCCTGCCCAAGCCAGGGCCAGGGGCCAGGCACAGGCTCTCACTGGGCCTCTGGCCCCCCCAGGTTTGACATCTCTGCTGTTTATCCCAACCGGAAGAAGCTCAGCACCTTCACTGAGGCCCCATACTCCACGCGTTATTCTGTGGAAGTGGTAAGTTTGCACAGCTTTCCCGATTCCTCCTACAGCGTCTGGCCGCTGTCCTTCTGAGCTGCCTGCTGTGGTGGATGAGCTGAGCTGTTGAAGGAGCGTATCTTCTGCATTCTTCCAGCACAGAGCTGGGCCCGCTGGGGGCTTCCAGTGTGTTTAATAAGTGAGGGACTGCGCCACTCCCAGCTTGTGCACTGACTAGCTGTGGACTCTTGAAGGAGCTGTTTTGCCTCCCTGCAGTGTGAGGGGCAGTGATGGAGGATGTGATGATGGCACCTTCAGTGCCAAGCCTGGTGGTGTCAGCCGCGGTGTTGAGGGTGGCAGCCACAGGGGAGATTGCCTCCGGGCCAGGGTGGTGGCTTGGTAAGGACCTGCTCTGTGGAGGACTGGGCAGGTATGGCTGTCACAGCTCTGACCATGCTCTGACTCAGTCCCACATAGGCCCTGGGACCTACAGCTCCAAGGACACCTGCTTCAGCAAGAAGAAGCTGATGAAGGAGGTGGATACAGGCTGGGCCAAGGCCCAGGAAGCCACGCGGCTGACCCAGCTACCCCACTTCCAGTACCAGGGGATCATGAAAGAGAAGCGGCTGCAGGTGAGGCCTCTGGGGCCAGGCCTCTCCCTCTCTGGTGCCAGGTCTTCCTGTCCATTGCAGCTGCTCCGTGTGGCCGTCAGTGTCCTACCAGGGCCAGATGGCGATTATCCTTTAAGGAATGCCATCACGCCTTGGGCTTCTTCCTGTGTGGACTTTCCCAAGTTTAAAGCTCTTATCTTCTGCTCTTTTCTCTTGGCACAGGAGCAGAAGCTGGGGCCTGGCTCCTACAACCTCAAAGACTTCTTAGAACAGCTGCGGGAGAAGCCGTGTAGCACCCGGGGGCTGCTCAGCTCTGGGGAGGTTCGCTTCCGAGGACTCATTGGGGTAGGTGTTCTCATGTCTGGAGTCCCGAGCAGAGAGCCTGGCATACATGGGGTGCCCAACAAATTCATTCACTTGTACATCCATCCAGCAAGCCAGGAATAAGGGTGAAGTGCCTCCTAAGTGGCATACGCTGACCGAGGTCTTGGGGATCTAGCAGTGACGAAGACAAGGTCCCTGCTCTCATGAAGTAGATATCCTAGTAGGGGAAACAGTAGTACAAAGAAGGAAATAGAATACATATATAAGCAGGGCTGTGAGCACAAATGAGACAGGGAAGGGACAGACAGTGATGGTGGTGCAATTGATAGAGGGTGTCAGGGCTCTGGGAGGAGGTGACATTTGAGCAGACCTGCAGGTCATGAGCAACGGAGACTTGTAGTGTCTGGTAGAGCATTCTAGGCATTGGAGCAGCAGAGGCTAAGGCCCTGAGGCAGGAACATGCCTGTCGAGTCAGACCTGCAGGCAGGAGACCAGTGTGGCTGGAGGGCACTGGGCGAGGGTGAGAGGAGGCGAGTGACAGGGCAGAGGAGTGAAAGGCTGGGTCATGAGGACCCTGCAGCTGACGTGGATCCTTGGTGTTTATTCCAGGTGCTGCCGGGGGGCAGTGGAGGGCTTTGACAGGGGGACCTGACTTACCTTTTTAGAGGAATACCCTCGTGAGGACCAGGGTTGGGAGGAGGCAATGGTGCTGAGAGGCGGGGGTGGCAGCACTGGGGGATGATGATCCCATCAGGAGGACACTGAGTGACGCTGAGGCTCAGTAAGGGCACAAGGGAGAAGGCAGGAGTCACCCCCTTCCAAGGGAGCCAGCGCTGCAGTTTTTAGCCGGGACCTCTCTGTGCTGGATGCTGGTATCCTTCTCCCAGCCCCTCACACAGGCCATGCCATTTCACATGGGGCTTTGCTCCTGCTGTTCCTTCTGCTAGGAATGCCCTTCCTCCCTCAGCAGCCTCTCCCAGGGCACGCTTACTCATCCTTCAGCTCTCAGCTTCCAGAAGCCTTCCTCGGCCCTGCTAGGTGGCGTCTCCCTTCCTAGGCGTCTCCATTGTGGCTGTGTGTTCAGCATCCCTCCCCACTGGACAGCAGCCCCTGAGGGCGGACCACATCTACTCGGTTCCTTCACTGCAGCATTCTGGGGTTCTAGCAGTGCCCGGCACACATAGGCATGCAGGAAGTATTTGTGGACTGAATAAGTGCATGCATCCTAAGTTATCAGGTGCTCCAAAACATTCTCTTTAATTCTTTGCAACCACTCCAGAGGAGGCCCTGGAGACACAGAAAAGATAAGCAGCTTGCCCCAGCTGCTGAGATGCAGACATGGGAATGTCCAGTCCCAGAGCCAGGGCCTTTCTCAACACTGGGAACGCTTCTATGAAGGCTGGAAATTCCTCCTGACACGATTGGGGGATGAGCATCTTCAGGTGCAGAAGCTGTAACTGTAACTCAGGGAGAGGGAATGCCTAGAACATTTAAAAATGCCATTACCGTCCAATCCAAAGTAATAATAGTGGACATGTAGCATGGTGGACATGTAGCATAGCACTTACCATGTACTAATTAATTTCGTGTTCATGACAGCCCTATGAAGTAGGCACTATCATTATGTCCATTCTACAGTTGAGAAAAATGGAGTATAAAGTGGCTAAGTAACCTACCACCCAAGGTCATGAATCTATCAGCTGGCAGAAGCAGACTTTTCAATCCCAGGTGTCCAACATGTACCTGGCATTTCACCCACAGGCTTGGCCCCCACAGTTCTTGGACTTTGCTCCCTGAGTCTCTGTGGAGGCCAGGGCCTGGGCTTGGGAACTCAGCCTCGCTGATGGCAGGGAACTGGGGTGACAAGCTGACTGTCTTTCCTTCCTGCCTTTGCTCTTTTTGACTGGGGGACCTTCCCACCCTCCCTCATACCTGTCTTTGGGAATCCTTCTCATTCTTCAAAGTCCAGCCTGAAAAAAAAAAAGAGAACAACTTAAAAGTGATGATTTATTCATTCCCACACTCCCCCTCTCCAATTAATCATTCCTGTTTGAGTCCCCAAAGCTCTGACAACATAACGTTCTAGTTAAAACCATGGGCTTTCCCATCAGCCCAAGTGTGGTACTGAACGTCTGAACCTGAAGGTTTTTTTTTTTTGTTTTTTTGTTTTTGAGACAGAGTTTCGCTCTTGTTACCCAGGCTGGAGTGCAATGGGCGGTCTCGGCTCACCGCAACCTCCGCCTCCTGGGTTCAGGCAATTCTCCTGCCTCAGCCCCCTGAGTAGCTGGGATTACAGGCATGCGCCACCATGCCCAGCTGATTTTTTTTGTAGTTTTAGTAGAGACAGGGTTTCACCATGTTGACCAGGATGGTCTCGATCTCTTGACCTCATGATCCACCCGCCTCAGCCTCCCAAAGTGCTGGGATTACAGGCGTGAGCCACCACGCCTGGCCCAAACCTGAAGGTTTTAAGGAAGAAATGGGATTATCCTGACGAAGTGCCCAGCGCTGCACTTGCCCCTGGGCTCCAGGAGCAGGGCCACTCTGACCCTTGGCATAACCCTCATCTTCAAAGTCTCCCAGGACCTGTGGTGACCACTGCTCACCCACCCAGTGCCTTCCACAGTGCCTGGCAAACAGTAGAGGCTCAGAAAGATTATGGATTTTGGAGTTGAAACCCTCATGCTGTCCCTTTCTGGAGATGGGATGTGGGACATGGAGTTTGCCTCTCTGAGTCTCAGTTTCCCCATCTGTTAGTTGTGGATGGTGCTGACTTGATCTTCCCCAGTCACTGCCAGGACCGAGATGCTGAGGCCTGTGAAGCACCTAATACACCATGCAGCTATCCTTGGGGGTTTTCTCCAGAACATACGTGGGAACCCCGGAAGCAGACCTGTAGTCCCATTCCTCTGGGAGTGAACAAATCGGATGCCTTCAGTGGTCTGACTCCCCATGCAGAGGTCCCTGCCCTCTCTGCCCCATCATGCTTCCTCAGGGTCAGGTGCCAGGCTCAGAGGTGGGTATAGCCGAGCCATCTGTGGAGCAGCAGTGACCCCGCGTGGCTAAAAGGTGCAGAGCAGCAGAACGCGTCCCGCCAGGTGTCTACCCAAGGTGGACTTCCCTCCTCACTCTGCCTACAAAATCACACTTCTGACCCTGGCAGCCCAGGTCCCAGATGGTCATTCCAATCAGTTCTTAACCTCTCCTCCTGCCCCCAAGACCTTCAGCCACCTCACTCTGACTTATCACGTGTCTGTGTCGCTATGTGCCAGGCACCTGTGAGCCTCCACTACTGCTGGCACCTTCACTTCCAAGTTTAGCCTCTCCTGCAGGGCCCCACTGGCCCGTCCATGCTCTCTCGCTGCTGCTTCCCTGTATCCCACGCTGGGACATGGTGGGCTCCTGCTACTCCTGAAGCACACGCCATTCCGCCCAGCCCCCTTCGCTTCCTTGCAGACATTATTTTACAGACACTCTTTACCTTCATCATCATTTCCTGGAAGAAAGTATTCCTATCCCGTGGTACCAGTATGGACCACGAGACTCAGAAGGCCCGCGGTCACTCAGCTAGGAGGCGGCAGAGCCAGGATCTGAACCCAGAACAGCAGTCCTTCCCTGAAACAGCACACTGAGAAAGCCCTTGTGTCACACAGGGCTGTGGTGCAGGGGTGTGAAGATTGAAATTGCCAGATCCACCAAAGCAGGCAACAGTCTCAGGTGGTGGGGCAAGAAGGCTTCATTTCCAGGAGAGATGACGTTTGAGCTGGCTTTGCAGGAACAGTGGAATTGTCCAAGGCAAAGAGGGCAGGAAGGGCATTTGGAGTAGTGGTTACAGCACGAGCCAACGAGGGAAGGTTGGGCAGAGTGGCGTGTGCTTGGGGAGCAGCAAGGAGCCCACTGTGTTGGCCAGAGTGTGTGATGTGAGGAGGAAGGAGGGAGATGTCACTTGGACAGGCCATTGGAGCCCAGGGAAGAGGCTGAGCTTGGAGGTGAAGGTGTGAGCAGTGGTGGAGGCTCAGGGGCAACAATGTTGTGTGTCGGAGGGCAGGTAGCAAGCGGGCACCCTCAAAACCCCATTCCCTTCTTGGGGATGGCAATCTCAGGTGTCCCTCAGGAGCACGCTCAGCACAAGGAGTGGTTCTGACGGCCTCTATGCCCCCACCCCGCCCCACAGAACTACTATCCGGGCCCTGGAAATTATGGGGAGAAGGGCAACCCATACACCAAGCTGGAGGAGAATGCCTGGAACCGGTCCCATTCCGAGGGCCTCATGTGCAGGATGAGCAACAAGCCGCACCCCCGGGCTCATCAGGTACCCCCTTGGCTGGCCAGGCCTAGCCTGCCTTCCCGTCCTGGAGGGGCACTCCCAGGGCAGAGGGGGAAGCTGAGCTGTCCTGCAGGCCTCATTGCCTCTGCTGTGCTCTAGGGCAGTGGTCTGGCACCCAGCACCTACTCCATCAAAAGCGGCATTGATACTTACGTGGCACGATCCGTTGGCACTCGTGGTCCCTATGACACTTTCTCCGGTGATCGGAGCAAGCCACTGCCCTATGGGCACTACTCCATGCAGGTGTGTACCTGGGGGGTGGAGGGTGTTCACCCATGCCCCAGCAGGATGACAGGCCCCACTAGTCAGCACCAGGAACACCAGCCTGTGTGCCAGGCTCTGCACTGGGCTGTTTCCACACCCCCTCGCTTCACCCTCACAGCCAGGCACATCTGGCTTCCTGTGCTAGGTAAGGAAAATGGGCTGGCCACACGGCTGGAAGGAGCAGAGCTGGGATTTGAACCCAAGGACGTCGGTCTGACTTCACTGTCAGCTCTCTCCTCTGCATTGGCGTGATGTACCCAGGAGGTGAAGATGGCCCACAGTGCCAGGGGAGCTTGGCCATGAGGAACCTTGATGACACAAGGCGGGGGGGTGCCGTCCTATTTTGGAGACAGCAGGCATTGTAGACCAAGCTGGCTGGGTTAGTGCCAGTGCTCTGTTAACAAAGCAGAGAACAAGGAGGCCCAGGAGGGGAAATTGAGGTAGAATTTTATCTTGATGGACTCCTTTCCGCCCCCATCAAGTCCCTGTGATGTGACCTCATAGTGTGCTGCGCTTTGCTTGTTTTGTGCTCATAGCCTTTGGAATTAAGTTTTGTCTAATTGCCTGTTTGTCTTGTCTCCATTTTGCATTCTTGCAGTGGGTATGATCAGGCCAGGTAGTAGGCGAGGTGCAGGGGAAAGCAACCTTGTGGAACTTACATTCTGTGGGAAAAGAAACTCATTTATCAATGAATAAAAAAATTCCTGAGTGTGAGCAGGCGATGAGTGCCATGGCAGGGGTGGTGGTTAATGTAGAAGGACTTTGGGGCTAGCTGGTAGGCAGCCACTGAGCTAAGGCCTCGACCTGGCTGCTCCCTGGAGCCTCCCAGACCTCCCCATGACCAGCCACAGAAGGGGTCAAGGGACCCTCCACAGGCACTGTGGCCAGTGCCCAGGCCACGCTGTTTGCTTCTGTTTGTAAAATCTTTTTTTTTTTTGAGACTGAGTTTTGCTCTTGTTGCCCAGGCTGGAGTACAGTGACATGATCTCGGCTCACCACAACCTCCACCTCCTGGGTTCAAGGGATTCTCCTGCCTCAGTCTCCTAAGTAACTGGGATTACAGGCATGCGCCACCACACCCGGCTAATTTTGTATTTTTAGTAGAGATGGGGTTGGTTTCTCCATGTTGGTCTGGCTGGTCTCAAACTCCTGACTTAGGTGATTCACCCGCCTTGGCCTCCCAAAGTGCTGGGATTACAGGCGTGAGCCACTGTGCCTGGCCACACTTTTTTTTTTTTTTTTTTTTAGCTCAGTTTCAAGTTCACAGCAAAATTGAGTGGAAAGCACAAGGAGTCCCCATATACCCACTGCCCTCCCCATGACATGTACAGCCTCCCTGACCATCAGCTTCCCACAGCATCCTGGTTTGTTTGCTGCAGTTGAAGAACCTACACTAATAAGTCATTATCACCCCAACTCCGTGGCGTGCCTTAGGGTTCACTCAGGTGGTGTACATTCTGTAGGTTTGGACAAATGTGTGACATGCAGCCACCATTTTAGTATCATATAGAATAGTTTCACTGCCCTCCAAATCCTCTGTGTTCCTCCAGTCATGCTGGTTTTAAATATTTAAGGCATCATTCCTGCTTAGAACAGTGCCAGACTCAATACCTGTCCAACAAATGAAAGAAAGAAAAAATGGATGAAAAGGAGCTGGGCTGCAGGGTGTGGCAGGTGCGGGGCGCAAGAGACTAACTCCGCCCCGGCCTGCTGGTTGAGGGAAGGCTGGCTGTTTCCACCAGCCCAGGTCAAGGGGCCCTTGAGACTGGCCTGGCCTCCGGGATGTCTGCACAGCAGGGTAGTAAGTGATGCCCCATTGCTTTTCTCTGGTTGCAGTGGGGGGGTTGGGAAAGAAGCTCTTGATTTTCTTGGCATAACAGATTCCTTTTTCTGTCTTTTTCTCAGAAAAAAAAGCCCAGGGAACTGATGAATTTCAAGAGCTTTGTAGAAGAACTTAACTCACGTCACAATAAGAAACGTGGGGCTTTTTCTAAACTTCCCCGCAACCCGAAAATGCCTACGGAGAGGATTTACTGGTCTACCCCTAGCCAGTGCCCACGCCTTCTGGTCAGTTCGCTGCTATGGCTGGCCTTCCTCTCTTGGAGGGCAGCTCTCCTTCCGGGGCTTGGCGGTTAATGTCATGGGGAAAGCTCAGTCTTGGGATCAGACTGACTTGGTTTCTAGTTCTGGTCTTGGACGTTGGGACACTTCAGACGAGACCCTGTTCAGGCCTCGATTTACACCCCTGTCCTATGAAGATGGTGAAATGGTTATGAGAATTAGATGGGGCTGTGTACTCAGAGCTTGTAGCATGGTGTGTGGTGCCCAGGAAGGGCCTACCCAGTGCTGACCTTCCCCTTCCTCTGGCCTCAGAGTGCTGGAGGATGGGCAGAGGAAACTGGAGCAGGGCAGAGTACGGCTCCCCACTGGAGGGCCTGCCCACCTGCTCCACCCAAGGGAGTGGTGCGCTCTGCCCTGGTGTCAAAGCAGCCCTCTGGGGGTCTGAGCAGGCTCCCCAAGCAGGGTGTGCCCCTTTGAGGCACTTTCCAACCCCCCGCCCCACCCTGCTGAGATAGGGATTATCATTTACATTTCACTAAAGGAAACTGAAGCCCAGATCTGGAAAGGGATTTGCCCAAATTCTCCCAACAAAGGTGAGAAGGGGCTGGGATTGGAACTCAGCTCATGTGGCTCCAAGTCTGGTGTGGCCTTCTTCCTCAGAAATGGGGTCTTCAGCTGTCTGGGCCCCACCAGACCATGAAGGCCCTTAGGCACCTGAAAAGAGGCATCAGGCCATGGTGGGGGGGGGTGCTAAAGTGGGTGGCATGGGTCATGAGGGCCCTTTGCTGGGAGGTAGCTGGGTGCCCCCCACCATCCTTGGCTCAAGACCCAGGGCTGCTGAACGGGCGGAGTCAGCTGCCAGGAGCCCTCAGCTGCCCTGGGCCCAGGCTGACACTGCCACAGCCTTCCAGATTTCAGCCTTCCTTCCTTACTCATAGGCCACATCTGGCCCTGGTTTCTGGCTTCCACAAGAGAAGAAATGCAGACCTGTCAACCAGCCACCGTTCCTGTTCTCCTCCAAGGGGTCAGGTGCAAAGGCCTGCCAGATGATTTTGGGAAGCTGGGTGAGTGGGTCTGGGGTGGGGGATACGTGGGAATGCTCTTCTGCCTTTACAGCCAACACTAAAGCCTCTTTGTCCCCTGCAACCCATGCTTTGGGTGAGCCACATGCCTCCCCTTTCTTTTCCCCAAGGGGCCTGAGGTCCACTCCCACTCTTATTTTCCTAAGGCATTGGTTCTCAGACTTGAGCTGGTATCAGCATTGCCTGCAGGGCTTGTTAAAACAGATGGCTGGGCCCCGTGTCAGAGCTTCTGATACAGTAAGCCTGGGTTGGGATCTGGGGATTTGCATTTCCAACAAGTTCAGGTGATGGGGATACTATTCCAGGGACCACACTTTGAGAGCCAGTGAGCTAAGGAACATCCCACGGCAGCCCATGCCATTCTCTTATTTTCCCGGAGAAACGCTCCTTCCATTTGCTCTTTGTGTTTGTCTTGGGCCTCAGGGGCAGCTGCTGAAGCTGATCCCTTTCCCATCCCTTGCCTAGCAAGGCCCCTTCCAGCCCCTTCCCTTTCCCACTCTCTTCCTTCTCTCCAGAGGCACTCCCAAGTGTGCAATGTAATCTTTAGTTAGTCTTGTAAACCAGCTAAATTCCTGGCCTTGGGCTTTGACCTCATTCTGTTTCTTATTCCACCCCCTCTTCAGTTTGTAAATGCACCTTTTATTGGAGTCTAATAATCACAGAGAAAGGTGTTGAATCCTAAGTGCACAGCTCCATGAATTGTCAGAAAATGGCCCGTAGCTACCCCCCAGAGAGTTTAACAGCTCTCATTTCCAGCACCCCAAGAGCCTCCTCAGTTCCCACCTCCACCTGCAATTAGATAGCCTCTTGTCCTGACTTCCAGTAGCACAGGTTTTGAACAGTTTTCCGTTTTTAAGGTCTCTCCTGGGTAGTCCTTGCTTGTAACTTACCCGCCTTCCCATCATGCTCCATCCCACTGCCCCATCCTGCACCCTGACACCTGAGCTTTTCCTCTGGGGAACATGCCAGCCACCTCACCTCCCTACTCGGTGGCGAGGTCCTCAGCATGCCCAGACCCCAGTGACCAATTCTTGTGAGGACCAGCTGGTTGTCTCCAAATCCTTCCTTTTGTCACCTCTAGCCTGCACCCCACAGGGGAGTAGTCTTTACCTGAGAGCCCCCAAGTGAAATGTTTAGATCAAAGCCAAATGACCCTGCTGCTACCACAGGGCCAGCCACCGGGAAGTGGGAAGGACTGATGTGAGGTCCGGGTTCTGGTGGCTCAGCTGGCCTTGCCCCACAGGGTGGGAGAGCCCCTCTGCTTGCACCCCCAAACCTGGCGCCTCCTGAAACAGGCTTCTCCCTTGTGGGAGGCAACTTCTGTTTAGCATGGGACTAGCTTCTGGGTCCTAACATCTCCGCAGCCGAGCCTTGGGACTGCTTCTCCGCAGATGGCTGGTTCTTGTCCTGCCTTAATTCTGCCCTTGCTATGTCACCTGGGGCAAGTTGCATCTCCTTTCCCAGCCTCTCTGTTGCTGCCTCGAGGATCTGTGACCCAGATAGCTGGGTGGGATGCTGTATTCCCTTCCTAGGGCTGCCGTGAACTAGGTGTCTTAAAGCAACAGACATATATTCTCTGACAGTTCTGGAGACGAGAAGCCTGAAATGAAGGTGACTGCAGGTCCGTGCTCCCTCCGAAACCTGTTGAGAAGAACCCTTCCTTGCCTCTCGTAGCTTCTCGTAGGTGGCCAGCAATCCTTGGCGTTCTTGGCTTGTAGCCATCTCTCCAGTCTGTCTTTTTGCACGGCTGTCTTCCTGTGTGTCTCTTCTTATGAGGACACCAGTCACTTTGGATGAAGGACCCACCTTACCGCAGTGTGGCTTCACCTTCACTAATGATGTCCTTAGCAACCTTATTTCACATTCTGAGGTACTGGGGTTACTCGGGGTTGGGACCTCAACATCTCCTTTTGGGGGATGAAATTCAGTTCATAATAAATGGAGTGGGGCAGAGTCTGAGGGGAGGAGAGGGAGCCGAGACGCAGTCTCCAAGCCAGGCTTGCTACTGTCCTGCCATCGTCTCCCTGTTGCAGAACCCCGTAGGTGTGGGCCGCTACCTCAACACCTGGCTGATGGAGACAAAGGACAGGCGGCAGCGATATCGGTCCTTATACCTGCCTGGATCCAAACGCTACCTCTCAGACCCGGCCCGGGACATGCTCATGCAGTGAGTGCACTGGAGCTGCAGGAGAAGCGGGGAGGGTGGTGGTGGGGGTCTTACTCTGGGGTGGGCTGGTGGTTCCCCATGTTTGGTTCCCACGGGAACACAGCTTCGGCCCCTGAGGCCAGCCAAACAGCAGAGGCAGTGGAGGGATGTTCACATTCAGATCCTGGCTCTGCCGCTTACTGGATGTATGGGTGGGGCATGTTGCTGAGCTCTGCTGAGCCTCATTTCCTTCAGCTGTCAAAAGAGCAGATGGTGGAGGAGACCTAAATGAAATGATCTGTTGAAAACACTTGGTAAGGAAAAGGTACTCCATCAACCCTAAATCCACCGCCCGCAGCCCACACAGTCGTTGGCCCTCAGTGGCTTCACCACGTGGAATCTGTTTCTTGGTGTTCATAATAGGGTTGGTAAAACTCATTTCAGGAGATTGCGAAGCCTAAGAAGGAAAAGGTACGTGAAATGCTGTGGCAAACTATACAACAGCCTGCAAATGTAAGCTGCTGCCATATTTTATTGACCTAAGAGGCCATCAGTTGCAATGTCCACGAAGCCCTTGCCCTCCTTGGGCTCCTGGCTCAGAAGAATTATGCCAGGAGGCACAGAGGACAGATAACAGGTGTGAAGGATGTTTTAATGCACTTTTTCATTGACTGATTCATTTGAAAAACCTGCCTCATGCTTGGTTCCGTGCTGAGCACGTCTGAGCTGCTAATTGTTTTCAGGTGACCAGAAATAGTCTGCCATTCCCTCAATGAAAATTTCATTTCTGCATTCATATTTTTAATTTTTAAGGGTAACTTTTTGTTTTCTGAATGTTCCTTTGATAACAATATGCTCTAGTTTCATGGAGGCAGCACTTCCTCATCTTTTGAAGATATTAAGACAAATATCTTCAAAGGATTAAAGATTAATGTCTTCCTTTTGAAGACATTAAGACTGTTTGCTTGACATTGTTCCCATTTTTTCCCAAATCTCATTTTTCTGCATGTTCCTTTTGGCCTCAGTCTTCCACATCAGAGGTTTTTCCTCAAATGTCCGGTGATGGTTGGCTATGCACCCCTGTCCAGCTGTAAACGCTTCTGAAGGCTCGGGGGCACTTGTTGATTATGGACTGCCACAGTGTGATCAAGCGGGGCGTTGTCACTGGGTGAACTGCCAGTGCCACTATTGTCAGAGCGTTCCTCTTGGCCTTGGCCAGAGCGAGCTTCTCTGGGGTATGTAAGCTTGGCTGTCCAAGCTGTAGAATCTAAGTGGAAGGGAAGAGGCTAGAGTTCTCAATATTTAGTAATCAAACTTCTACTTAATTCCCTGTTTTTTTGGTTTTTTGGTTTTTTCTTTTGCGGTGGAGTTTCACTCTTGTTGCCCAGGCTGGAGTGCAATGGCAAATCTTGGCTCACCGCAACCTCCGCCTCCCAGGTTCAAGTGATTCTCCTGCCTCAGCCTCCCAAGTAGGTGGGATTACAGGCATCCACCACCATGCCCGGCTAATTTTGTATTTTTAGTAGAGATGGGGTTTCTCCATGTTGGTCAGGCTGGTCTTGAACTCCTGACCTCAGGTGATCTGCCTGCCTCAGCCTCCCCAAGTGTTGGGATTACAGGTGTGAGCCACCGCACCTGGCAAGGCTTCTAAGAGAGAGTCCACCATGTTGGCCAGGCTGGTCTCAAACTCCTGACCTCAGGTGATTCGCCTGCCTCGGCCACCCAAAGTGCTGGGATTACAGGCATGAACCACCATGCCCAGCTCAATTCCCTGTTTTAAATATGGTACTCGTGATTTCAACTATGCCTGGTGCCATCCTGAACAGAAATCTGTCTCCAGAGAATAAATCTCCAGGCTAAATGAAGGGCACTCATCTGGCTGCAGTCAGTCGGGGAGAGACACGAGATACAGACTTTCAAACTGATATTCAAACCCTGTTTTCTGTTTCACCTTCATTCCCACTTCCAGAGGTACCTGGTGCTGCCAATTCCTTAGTCTTTTGCAGCTGGGGGGATTCTTAGCTTTGCCCTCTACTAATTTGGGGGTTAGCTTTCTTGGGTCTATGAGGTTAGTTACCATTCTTCCATCTGCTTTTCAACTTCCAAAATATTTTTTCTTCCTGCTGCGTCTTCTGTTCTTTTTGCCCTTGTAGGTATATGCCTTATCATTTTTATTCCTTTATTTTGTTTTAGTGAGGTTTCAGGAGGGAGAGAGGTTAATGTACCCATTCGATCCATGAAAAGTGTGGTGAAATTTCTGGGTTTTAAAGGGCAAAATAAAAATCTTGCAGTCTGTATAAGATTTTGATTTAGATTACAACCTGCAAGCTTAATCAAAGACAGGCATATATCATACTTCTGAAACATAAATGATAGAAAACACTGTTTATAGAAACTCAAACTCAAGGAAAATAATTAGGACAATGTAGAGTCAATGTGGAGACAATGTAGGTAGCTGACCAATCATTCATGTGCAAGGCAAATGAGAGATGCATGTGTTGGGATGTATACCAATAGCATGTTTTCTGAAAATATTACTGGAGGATATACTCCAGTCAAATGAAAAATGAATTAACATGGAGAGCTTAAGAAAGGGGAATACATGGCCGGGTGCAGTGGCTCACTCCTGTAATCCCAGTAGTTTGGGAGGCCTAAGTGGGGGGGGGGGATCACCTGAGGTCAGAAATTCGAGACCAGTCTGGCCACCATGGTGAAACCCCCATCTCTACTAAAAACACACAAAAAATGTGTTGGGTGTGGTGGCGCACACCTGTAATCCCAGCTACTGGGGAGGATAAGGTAGGAGAATTGCGTGAACCCAGGAGGCAGGGGGTGCAGTGAGTTGAGATTGTGCCATTGCACTCCAGCCTAGGTGACAAGTGAAACTACGTCTCCAAATATATATATCTGGCTATTATATATATGGACTCCTGGCCATGTATATGTAACCAACAATGGAAAGAAAGAGTAGTAATATACAAACACTAGGCAAAATAGAATGCAAGGCAAAAATGGTAAGTGGAACATAGATGAGTATTTAATCATGATAAACAATAAAATCCATGAAGAAATTATAACCATGAACTTTTCTTTTTTTGATGAAGGGTCAAGCTGGAGGCTGGAGTGCAGTGGCACAGTCACGGCTCACTGCAGCCTTGACCTCCCAGGCTCAACCATCCTCCCATATCAGACTTCCAAGTAGCTGGAACTTCAGACTCATGCCACCACACCCAGATCATTTTTGCATTTTTTGTGGACAGGGTTTTACCACGTTGCTCAGGCTGGTCTCAAACTCCTGGGCTCAAGTGATCCACCCACGTTGGCCTTCCAAAGTGTTGGGATTACTGGCGTGAGCCACCATGCCCAGCCTAACTATAAACTTTTACACACTCAAAATACGAGTAACAAAATCCCATAGTAATAATGAGAATTCTTAATAGGCCTGTCTGAAAATTAGACAGCAGGGCACTGCTGGCCTGTGGGAGGGGTGAGGCGCCTCTTCATGGTGAAAGACTCTCCTGCCCAGTGGGACGGTTAGCGTTCCAGGTGCCTGCCCACTGGCTGGGGAGTAGTGGCCCCTAGTCTTTGGGACAATCCCCAAACCCTCCTGCATGTTTTCATTGCCCTCAAGGCAGAAAATGCCAAGCCCAATTTAGCTGATTCAATTCAGGATACATTTATTGAGCGTCAAGAACGTGCAAGGAAGTCTGCTGAGATCTCCCTTGAAGGGGGCTGTGTGTGATGGTTGGATGGAGCAGAGGCCTGGGAGGCAGGAGAACAGACTTTCTGTCCCTGTCCTATACAGATCATTTCATCTTTTTCTGGCTTTGAGTATACATCTGTAATGGATACCTATGTTTAAGGCTATCACTGTTTTTCCAAATTGCTTTTAATTGAGGATAGAGTGTATTGGATGGGGAGAGGGGAAGTACTGTGGGAGTTCAGAGGAGGTAAGTATTACAGTGAATGTGGAGCCTTCCAAGCAGGGAAGCCTGCTTGGAAGAAGTGGCATTTGATCTGGTTCTCAAAAGCTGGGTAAGAGGTGGGCTTGGAAAGGCAATAATGACTGTTAATCGAAGGTTGACTGTGTGCCAGGCACTATACACAAGTCCGTATAAACATCATCTCTCGGTCGGGTGCGGTGGCTTATGCCGGTAATCCCAGCACTTTGGGAGCCTGAGGCAGGCAGATCACCTGAGGTGAGGAGTTCAAGACCAGCCTGGCCAACATGGCAAAGCCCTGTCTCCACTAAAAATACAAAAATTAGCCGGGCATGGTGGCAGGTACCTGTAATCCCAGCTACTAGTGTGGCTGAGGCGGGAGAATCACTTGAACCCAGGCAGCAAAGGTTGCAGTGAGCTGAGATCACACCACTGCACTCCAGCCTGGGTGACAGACAGAGTGAGACTCCATCTCAATTAAAAAACAATCATCTCTCATGGACATCACAAAGCCCTGTGAAGTATGTAGCATTGCCTTTATTATCTAGACGAGGACACTGAGTAACTTTCCCAGGGCCACAGTGAGTTACTGACTGTAGCAGTTAGCTATTGCTACATAACAAACCACCCAAAAACTCAGTGGCTTAAAACAATAGCCATTTGTTATTGTTCACGAGTCTGTGGGTTGGCTGGAGGCTGGCTGGTCTGGGATGGTCTTGGATGGAAACACTAGACTCTCTTCCACAGGGACTCTGGCCTTCAGCAGGGTAGCCCAGGCTTGCCCCCATGGAGGAGGCTGGCGTTTGAGAGAGGACGTGTGCAAGGCCTTTTGCAGCCCAGGCTCAGAATGCCACACCATTGTTTCTTCCACATTCTGTTGGCCAAAGCAAGTTCCACGGCCAGCCCAGATTGAAGGGGAGGGAAAGTGGACTCTGCCCCGTGATGGGAGAGGCTGCGAAGTTGCACTGGAAAGGGCTCCAATGCCAGGAGCTGCGGAGGCCTGCGCCATTTTTGCTCTCTGTCTAGTACACTCTCAGAATAGGATTGGATCTCAGGTCCAGCTGGCTCCAAGCTGTGTTCTTTCCTCAAGGGTTTTCTTCTTCCAGGGAGGAGAAAAAAATAGGACAGAAGGAAGAGCATGAGCGAAGGAAAAGAAGCAAAAAGTTCAGGATATATCTGGGAAATACTGAATGGCCCATTTTGAATGATGTGTCAGGGGTGTAGAGGGGAATAGTGGAGAATAAGGCAGGAGAGGTGGTTCGGTCAGTTCTTAGAGGCCTGGAATGCAGAGCTAAGCTGCTTGGACTTTATCCTGAATGTGAGAAGCCACAGGATTCTTTAAAAGTTCAATTTATTTATGTATATATTTTTTCGAGATGGAGTTTTTTGTTTTTTGTTTTTTTTCTCTGTTGCCCAGGCTGGAGTGCAATGGCATGATCTAGGTTCACTGCAACCTCTGCCTCCTGGGTTCAAGTGATTCTCCTGCCTCAGCCTCCCTAGTAGCTGGGATTACAGGCATGCACCACCATGCCCAGCTAATTCCGTATTTTTTTAGTAGAGATGAGTTTTCACGATGTTGGCCAGGCTGGTCTCAAACCCTTGTCCTCAGGTGATCCACCCTCCTCAGTCTCTCAAAGTGCTAGGATTACAGGCATGAGCCACTGCGCCTGGCCTAAAGTTGAATTTATTATAGTATAACTCACATGCAGTAAAATTCATTCTCTTTAGGTATACAATTCTATGAGGTTTTGTTGTTGTTTTTTGAGATAGGGTGAACACTCTTATCACCCAAGCTAGAGCGCAGTGGTGTGAACACGGCTCATAGAAGCCTCCACCTTCTGGGCTCAAGCAATCCTCAGCCTCCCAAGTACTGAGACTACAGGTGTGCACCACCACGCCCAGCTAATTTTTGAATTTTTTGTAGAGAATTGCTTCTGCCATTCTGCCCAGGCTGGTCTTGAGCACCTGGGCTCAAGCAATCCACCTGCCTCAGCCACCCAGAGTGCTGGAATTATAGGCATGAGCCACCATGCCCAGCCCAGTTCTATGACAAATGCATGTAGTTGTCATGCATATCACCACAGGCAAGATCTAGAATATTCTTATCCCCCTCGTGCTATCTATAGTCAGCCCCCTCCTCCCACTGCCCCCTGGCAGCTTTACCATCCCTGGAGTTATGGCTTTTCCAGAACGTCATATAAGTGGAGTCATCTGTGTGTAGAATTTTGTATCTTTTTCTTTTTTGTTACGTGGTGCTCTTGAGATTCAGCCGTGCTGTTGTGCGTATCTGTAGTTCGTTCCTTTTTAACTCTGAGTTGGACTGCATTGTAAGGTTGTGACCCAGTTTGATTATCCATTCTCAAGTTGAGGGACATTTGGATTGTTTCCAGTTTGGGGAATTTTTAATTAACCTGCTATAAACAGTTACATACAAGTCTTCACGTAGACATATGTATTTATGTCTCTCCTGTAAATATCTAAGAGTGGGATTTCTAGGTCACTTGGTGGGTGTGTATATAACTTTATAAGAAGCTGCTGAATACTTGAAATGGCTGGCCCATTTTGGACTCCCACCGGCAATGTATGAGGGGTCTAATGGTTCTGCATCCTTGCCAGCACTTGGTATTGTCAGGGTTTTTTCTTTTCTAATTTTAGCCATTCTAATAGTATATTTCATTATGGTTTGAATTTGTATTTCTCTAGTGACAAGATGTTGAGGATCTTTTCATATGCATCCTCTGATGTCTTCTTTTGGTGAAGTGTTTTCAAATCTTTTGCACATTTTAAACAAATGGGCTGCTTGGTTTCTTATATTCAGCTCTGAGTTCTTTAGATATTCTAGGCATAAGTCCTTTATCAGATATGTGTTTTGCAAATATTTTATCCCAGATATCCAGAAGGATTTTAATGGGAAGTAATTCTTCTGTTTAAAAAAAAAAAAAGCATGCTTATGGTATTATGGATTGTTACGGGGACAGAGACAAGGAGGCTGCCTCAATGGTGGACGTGAGAAATGAGGCACGGGGCCGGGCCAGGGGCCATGGGCATGGTGAGGAGTAGAGACAGGAGGCATGGAAACCCACTGGATGGTGGGAAAGACCCCTCTTACCCTGTGAGTCCTCCCTCCTTTGACAAATATTTGATAAGCACAGGTAATGATCTAGGCATAGGGGAAATACTGATGAAGAAATCCAAGTCCTGCGTTCATGGAGTTCACGTCTTGGGGAGGACAGACAACAAGTAGATACTAAGTGTGTGATGTAAGGGCTGGCAGATGCTCTTTGACACACACAGCAAAGGGTTCTTAGGGAAGTGCCATCTTCAAAGGGCTCATGGGATGGGAGGCTGAGGCCCTGATGCTGGCCTTCAGGTGCCCTCAGGTAGGTTCCCTCCTCTTTCTGACCCTTGCTCTTCCTCTCAGGGTTGGGTTAGATGATCTTCCAGGAACTATGATTTTATATCTGAAGTGCTTACAAGCCAACTTGGGTGCTTTAATGAGCTGAACTGGGTGTGAATTGGTGGAATCTCATCTTTAGAATGTGTTTTGTTGTAAAGGTCTAGAGGTCATCAATTTTGGCCTCTCACCAATGCAGGATCTTCTGTGAAGCATAACCAACAGGTACCTGTTCATCCCCTATGGGTGTCCCTCCAGGGATAAGGAGCCCGCTCCCCTCCAAAGGATCACTTCCATATTTAATTTCTCTTTTTAAAGGGAAAGGATCACACCATTTACTAAGGGGAAGTGCCCTCCAACTGTGGATTACAATTCAGATCCTACTCCTTAAAGCCACATGTGAAGGACAGCTCGCAGTGACCGGAGAACCCAAAGGCCTGAAAACAATTCTGGGGGTGAGAGCATGGGCATGGGAAAGCATGGGTGTGGGAGTGGGAGGTTTTAGGGAAAGGACACACAAGAGTGCCTGGGAGTGGGGAGAGACTTGTGGAGATCACCTTTGCCGGAGCTGTATACCTGAAGGTCACAGTGTCTTCCGGGACAGCTGGGGGCGGATATCTTGTTACAGGAGATCAATTATCCTGAGAATTAACTCAGCCAGTGACATGAACTTGGGGGCCAGATAGCAGATGGACTGAAGGGATGGGATGTGGTGGACACTTGTGGGACCCTTTCTATTCTAAAGCCAGAGTGCTTGGCTCCTTGTTTATTAAAGTTCAGAAAGTGGTGGGAGAGTGTAGCATTTATTATACCACAATTCTAGGACTCTCCAGGAGCACCCCATCACCATCCCAGGATGCTTCTGGACGCTTAGCAGTGCCTCACTGATGAGGAAACTGCTGACCTCAAGCAATGTCCAGCCATGGGGATCATTGGCTTCATCCTGAGTCAGCCCTTGTGGGCCCCCTTCCCTCACTGTTTTATGTCAGTGTGAATGGGAGCAGGTTGTCCCTAGAGGACACTGGGATACTACAGCCTCGTCCAGAAAGCTCACATAATGATAAAAAAAAAATACTTGAAACACTTTCTTCAGTGCACGAGCATCTTACAAAAAGCAGTTTTTCAAAAAGCTGGACATGGTGGCTCATGCCTATAATCCCAGCACTTTGGGAGACCAAGGCGGGTGGGTCACCTGAAGTCGGGAGTTCGAGACCAGCCTGAGCAAACATGGAGAAACCCCATCTCTACTAAAAATAACAAAATTAGCCGGCTGTGGTGGCGCATGCCTGTAATCTCAGCTACTCTGGACGCTGAGGCAGGAGAATCCCTTGAACCTGGGAGGTGGAGGTTGCGGTGAGTCAAGATACTATTGTACTCCAGCCTGGGCAACAAGACCAAAAACTCTGTCTCAAAAAAACCCAAACAAACAAACAAAAACCCCAAAAAGCAGTTTTTCACCTGTGTCAAAACAACTGTTTTTGAAGAAGTAAAACCATCTTTATTCACCTCGCCAACATATTGCAGACAACCAGCCGCCCATGCCCACTAGCTGATCCTCAGAACCTGGGTGCAGCAGGACTGCCTACGTGTGACGCCCACTCACTGTTCTGTTACTTGTGGTCCATGTTGCACGGGGGTGCTGAAGGCATACTGAGAACCTGGACGTTAAGACTGGGAAAAATCACTCCCTCCTGAGCAACCAGAGAGGTACTAAGAACCTGATGCTACCTTTTTTCAGATTTACATGCCAGAGTGTTCAACCCAATCACCTGCAGGACCACCTCAAGAAACTGAAGTGGAATTTGGTGGTTATGAAACATTTATTCTTTTTTGGGGGGGCTGTGGAGCTCTTTTTTTCTTTTTCCTCAAACAAAAGCTTTTAGGGAAAGTCCAATATAAAACATGGAGCTACTTTGAATCAAGCTGGGTGAGGCCAGAGTCCAGCCCTCGTGGCCAGCCCCTGTGCCCTCCTTCCCCAGGGATTGTTCGGAACCAGGCCGCACAGTAGGAGGTGAGCAGTGGGTGAGCTCCGCCTCCTGTCAGATCACCGCGGCCTTAGATTCTCACAGGAGCCAAACCCGATTGTGAACGGCAAATGTGAGGGATCCAGGTTGTGTGCTCCTTATGAGAACATAACTAGTGCCTGATGAGCTGAGGTGGAACAGTTTCATCCTGAAACCATACTTCCCCGCTGCCCCATCCCACCCCACCCTAATCCATGGAAAAAGTGTCTTCCATGAAACCGGTCTCTAGTGCCAAAAAGGCTGGGGACTGCTGTAATAAAGGACTTATGTCCAGAATATATATGTGAATTCATATATATCTCAATAATAAGAAACATCAAAATAAAAAATGTATAAAAGATGTAACAGACACTTTACCAAGAATATATATGAATAGCAAATAAGCACATGAAAATAAACTCAACGTCATTAGTCATTAAATAAATGCAAATTAAAGCCACAATGAGAGACCACTAGCCACCTATTAGGATAGCTAAAATTAAAAAGACTGACCATACCAAGTGTTGGTGAGGATGTGGAACTCTCATACACTGCTGGTAGAAATGTAAAATGGTACAACTATCTTAGTTCATGTAGATGTTAATATCAGGGGAATGTGGGTGAGGGGGATTGCCATACTACCACTGCAACTTTTCTGTAGAATTAATTACAAATAAAAATAAAAGTAATTAAACAAGTTAAAATATATGCAATACAACTTTTTAGAGAGACTGTTTATCTTACAAAATAAGTACATTTGCTCAAATATGTCTGCTGGCTGTCATAGACAGTCATTGTCACTGTAGAGAAGGTCAGCAAGGCCAGGCGTGGTAGCTTATGCCTGTAATCCCAGCACTTTGGGAGGCCAGGGCGGGCAGATCACCTGAGGTCAGGGGTTCGAGACCAGCCTTGCCAACACGGTGAAACCCCATCTCTACTAAACATACAAAAAAAAAATTAAACCCCATCTCTACTAAAAATACAAACAAACAAACAAAAATTAGCCAGGCGTGGTGGCAGGCACCTGTAATTCCAGCTACTCAGGAGGCTGAGGCAGCAGAATTGCTTGAACCCAGGAGGCGGAGTTTGCAGTGAGCCGAGATGGAGCCACTACCTCCAGCCCCGCCTGGGTGATAGAGCGAGACTCCATCTAAAAAAAAAAACAAAACAAAACAAAAAAAGAGGAGGTCAGCAAATTTGTAATGCTTGCATTTTTATAAGAGAAACCTCTGTAACCACTTTGTTTATTTATTGAGACAGGGTCTTGCTGTGTCCAGCCCAGGCTGGAGTGCAGTGGCATGATCATGGCTAAGCACAGGCTCGATCTCCTGGGCTCAAACAATGCTCACACCTCTCAGCCTCTCAAGCAGCTGGGACTATAGGCTGCACCACCACGCCTGGCTAATGTTTTTGTATTTTTAGAGATGGGGTCTTGCTATGTTACCCAGGTTGGTCTCAAACTCCTGGGCTCAAGCAGTCTTCCCACCTTGGCCTCCTGAAGTGCTGGGATTATAGGCATGAACCACTGAGCCTGGACACAACCTATTTTTTTGAGACAAAGTCTTGCTTTGTCCCCCAGGCTGGAGTGTAGTGGCGCGTTGTCGGCTCACTGCAACCTCTGCCTCCTGGATTCAATCGATTCTCATGCCTCAGTCCAAGCAACTGGGACTACAGAGATAAGCCACCATGCCCAGCTATTTTTGTATTTTTAGTAGAGATGGGGTTTTAGCTGGTCTCAAACTCCTGGCCTCAAACTCCTACCAGCCTCAGCCTCCCAAAGTGCTCGGATTACAGGTATGAGCCGCCACTCTGGCCCCTGGCCACAACTTTAAATTAAGTAATTCTTTTAAAATATTTTGCCATGAGATAAGAATGAGTTCATGTGTGTTACAAAAATAATGTGTGCTGGGGAGGGACACTCATCTATAATGGAGCAAAAGGCTCTCTGGCTACCACGGTCGGCTTTGCTGCCTTTGGAGGGCTAGGAGTGCTAGGGACTCCACAGAGCTCTTGAGCTGCCCTCATTGAGGGAATTTTGTGTATATCCCTCACCCCTTGTGGGATGTACCTTTGAAATGCATGTTTTACACTGGTTTCCAGCTTTCCCAGTGCAGTTATACTTCAGCGGCTCCCAGTGGTAACCTGTTTGAGAATGAACCCATTACTGGCTGTTATCCCTTCCCCATCCCCTGCTGGTGCTTTCTTCACCTCCCAAATAAACTGCTTGCACTCAGACCCTTGTCTTAAGGTTGGCTTCTAGGGAAACCCAAACCAAGACAAACACTAACATTTTTTCAGGCATCCCGATGGATCATCCTATTGTTACACCCTGGGCTTGGGAACCTCATTTGGTGACCACTGCTCTGCTCTGCCATAGTGACTACATCTGTCTGTCTAGCCTCTCCTTGCACACTCTCCCAGTGGCAGGCAGTGCCCGCCCATTGCAGGGCAGCTATGATTGTAAAAGGGTCCTTTGGATGTTGAGCTGAAATCTGGCTTGTTGTGACCTTTGCCCTCCTGCCTGGGCAGGGCTGTAAGAGGGCATGGAGTTCTGCAGTTTGTTAGCAGGGCTCTGCTGGGGCTTCCAGCAATCCCTTGGGAAGGAGGGCACAGGGCCTGGCCAGGAGGCTGGACCCCTGGCCCCACCCAGCTTGTCTCAAAGTAGCTCCATGTTCATTATATATTGGACTTTCCCAGAAGCTTTTCTTTGGGAAAAAAAAGAGCTCCACAGCCAAAAATTAAATGAATATAATCACCACCACATTCTCGTTCAGTCTCTTGAAGTGGTTCTGCAGGTGACTGGGATGAACACTCCAGCACATAAATCTTATAAAAGTAACATCAGGTTCTAGCACCTCCCTGCTTGCTCAGGAGGGTAGTGATCTCTCCCACTCCAGTGTGAGACGCTGCCAGGTTGTGGGAAGCCCTGGGCAGGCCAAAGATAGCCTTTTACAAGCCATGCCACCAGACTTAACATCCAGGTTCTTACTATGTCTTCAGCACCACCTTGCAACATGGACCACAGGTAATGAGTGGGCGTCACACGTAGGCAGTCTTGCTGCATCCAGGTTCTGAAGATCAGCTAGTGGGCACGGCGGCTGGTCATCTGCAATGCCTTGGCAAGGTGAAGCATGGCTGGCATAGCTGCTCACTTTACAAGAAACTGAAGCCCACAGGAGGAACAAGTTTACATCGGTTGCACGGCGTGGTTGTTTTAGTAAACACTGTTAAAGAATGGGACTTGATTTGCTGTGTTAGGTTCTTATCAATACCTAAGGGTGATGGTTCTGATCACCATGAATACGGTACTGTGCTTTGGCTTTTTACCTTGAGTCCACAGCATCCCTGGGCACAGCTCTGGGAAGCTCCCCTTGTTCAAAGTGCAGGTCCTCCCATCCTCATCACTGTGGGCTGCTCAATGCCTGCCCTGGGCCTAAGCAAGCCCAGGTCCCATGGGCTCAGACCCTGCCATAGTCCTTTGGCCCTGAAGGCAGTTTCACCTTCTCCAGCTTGACCCTTGGAGCTCCTCCTTCTCAGAAAGTTTACACCTGTTCCCAGGTTCATGGATCCACTCCCTTTTCCTGGACGTGCTGCAGCATTAGCCAGGGAATGGGGGTTCACCAATAATGAGAATGGATGAACCAGGAAGTGGGGGATGATTGTAGAGATGCAGAAGGTTCCGAAGCCTGACAGGTGAATGTACTGAGGCCAGAGCCAGGGTGCAGGAACCACCTTTCCTACTAAGCTTGGATTTGAAGGGCTTATTAGGAGAGGTCTCTGCTAGGTGGTGTGCTGG